CCTAATAGTGAAAAGTATTAATATCTGATAATGATTCATTAGAAAGGATCTTCTTTAATTCTTTATGTCCTTTATCGCTCAGAAGAAATGATCTTCCTTCCTTAATTGCTGAGAGTACAGCTTTTACACTATACACTGTCCTTTCTCTTGGTGTATTCATAGGATAGGCTAGTTCTTTAGGATCAATAACTAACTCTTTTACCTCTAGACTGGGACAAGATTCTTTATAAACACTCATTACCTCTCCTATCACATCTCTTCTTAGAGACATCATATTGTCACTGTAACCTTCATCACAGGACATCATTACTAGTACACACTGGCTCTCATCTACAATCTCTACCAGTGATCCTACACCATGACCATTAAACCAATGAAGACCATTCTTCCAAAATGTACAGTATCGATTTAACTTGTCATCTTCTTGAGGTAGAGCCATTTTGTAAGCGAGACGTAACAAGAGGACATGAAAGTATCGAGGAGGAAAAAAATCATATTCACTAGTACACTGTAGACACCAACCAAACTGGTATACGTAACTAGTCATCTCATCAGGTCTATTTCTAGACAAAAGACATGGAAAAAATAACAACCTTTCTCCTTTTGTTTGAGTCTCTGAGGCACTGTCTCCTTCTATTAAGTTTGTCAGTCGTAGGAAAGATGGATTCAATTCTTGACAGAGTTCCATGTTTTTTAGGAAACAGATCAACATGTCAGGATCATATTCAGGGAAGAGTCTAGTCAGACCAGACACACGAACAATACCAGTATTGCTAGCAATGTCAACATGTTCTTTAAATGTCTTTGGAGCAAAAAGAATCCCATCCACCTCAGTTAGTAGTATACCCTTATTCACAACAACCCATACCTTGTCTTCACTTTTAAGAACACTGATCAAACCAGTTGAATGCAACGAATTAAGAACATCCAAGACGTCTTCTGTTTTATCTGGTATGAAGTAATCATTACTTTTCTTACCAGCAGTCAGTACATCAAAGAGGGTCAGTATATTCTCTTTCCTTTCCTCCAGTAGACCATACATCATGTGACAATAAAGACTCAAATTCCTTCCACTTGTACTACGAATGGACTCACAGGCAATACACAAAATTTTTAAGAGGGAATCCACACCACTCCCACCAAGCTTACGACAATCTAAGAAGACACTATCACACTTTTCCCTTACAATAATCTCCTGTATTTCTTCTTTTCTCCTTTTCTTTTCAAAAGGATTTAATATCTCATCCACATGACTGACTATTACAATAATATGGCATTGATTAAGAGCTTTCTGTGCTTCATTTCTCACAACTGTTAGCCACTGATGAAGCTGTTTGACTGGTTCCTTCTCCAATATATTGACTACTATCAGGAACACACCACTAGAACCATGTAACAGATTCTCAATGACAGCACTGTGACTGGAGTAATATTCTGAATGACCAGCAAAATCATGAAGAATGATGTTACCCAGTGTCATGTGTTGTAATTTATAAGGAATGATACCAGCAGTACAGGGCACTACCCCTTCAACATTTCTAAATGAACCAAGAAAAAGTGGACCAGTAGCTGTGTCATTGATGACATGAGTAAAAGTGCTTTTACCAGCTCCAGGATTACCCACAAGGAGGATGTTAACATAAGAATCAATTGGATGAGATAATTTTATATCACCAAACTTCTTAAAGACAGAAAGAGTATCAGTGTTACCAAATGCCATAGCTAGTAGTAATGGTGTTCTCCCCTCATTGTCTTTAGCCAATGGATCACATTTACCAGTTGATAGTAAATATTCAACAACTGCAGGATTACTGTAATAAGCAGCAATGTGAAGAGGTGTTTGCCCCTGACTGTCAACAGTCATTGGATCACAGTGTTTCTCATTGATGAGATACTTGACTACATCAGATGAATTGCTTTCAGCTGCTTTATGAAGAGTTGTCATGTTGTTAGAGTCATTAGCCATTGGATCACAGTGACACTTATTAACGAGATACTTGACGATATCAATGTGATCAGCGGCACAGTGAAGAACAGTCTCACCCTTATTGTTAGTAGCCATTGGATCGCAGTGACACTTATTAATGAGATACTTGACGATATCAATGTGATCAGTGGCACAATGAAGAACAGTTTCGCCCTCATTATTAGTAGCCATTGGATTACAGTGACACTCATCAATAAGATACTTTACAATATTAATGTGTCCAACAGCAAGATGAAGAACAGTCTGACCGCTATTGGTGACAGCCTTTGGATGACAGTGATGATGACTGATCAAGTACTTCATGACATCAAGTGATCCTGTATTAGCTGCTTTGTGAAGAACAGTATATCCATATCCATCAATAGCCATTGGATTGCAGTGACACTCATTGATGAGATATCTCATTGTATCAACATGATTACCTTCTGCAGCCCAAGTAAGACAAGTCTTAGCTCCATCATCACATTCATGTGGATCACAGTGATATTTAGTGATGAGATCTTTTGTAACATCTAACCAGCCATGCTTTGAAGACAAATGAAGTAGACTAGTATTTCTCCATATTTGGTAATGTATGTAATTTTTTTGATTTTATTTGGTTCCTTTACTAATGGTAGGGAGTAAACAGCTTTTTCATGTTTGCCATCTGTAAAGGCAGCCCAACACTGGTCCTCTAACCACAAATCTTGTTGCCACATATCTTGCGTCTTGTGAAAGTTGTGATAGTTGATTGGATTCATTGCAATGCCCCACCCAAACTTAAGGAATTCATTATCCATACACTATACACACACCATGATTATCAGTAACTGATAGGGAGGGAGAATATGAAAAACAACTATGTGCATACACAGCTGTTCAGCAATAATTAACTGTTAATTCTTAGCCTTTCTTGTTTATACTTTACAAGAAACTGATTTTGTTTAGAAATTATTTTGACTCTGAATTTTCAGCCATTTAATGGTTTTGGCAAAGACCATTAAATGGCTAAACCCTAAACCCTATGAAATAAACAGGTGAATATGTGCCAATATCCACCAATTTATTTAGTTCTAAACATGCTTAACAAAAATTTATAATAAAAAATTCACCAAACATTACTTTCGGCAATGTTATTGTATTGTTAAGTGATGAACAGAAAGGAAGAGCCCTACAAAACAGAGAGAGCCCTACCGTAGAGTGCCTTTTTTCGAGGGCTGTAAATAATAGTAAATTTTGCAGATCCTGCAAATTTTTGAAGATTCACAAAAATTACTTCTGCAAAAATCATATTATTTCGGTGCAAAATGGCAGACGGCATAAATTTGAAAATTTACTACCCTCAAAAAAAGGTGCCCTGTACGGTATTATCATCATTATTATTACTATTAATGCTATATAAAGCAACAGTATTTTTATTGATACTGGTATAATTACTTCTGTTGTTATTTTTCTTTCTTATTTTTATCTCTAACCTACCCTACAACTGATGTCTTTTTACCTTGGTTTACATGTACTATTGATAATACGTAATAATTATTCTTAAAAACTATTATTATTATTATCATTATTATTATTATTATTATTTAATACAGGTGATGTCACTGACAGTCCCAGGTATGTATGAGTATCAATTTGGAGTCACACTTTGAGCACTACTGCCGAATGAATGGAGGGCAAAGATTAGCATTTGTACCTGTAGTAGCAGAAGGAGAGAGAGCCTGTCATATTCACTACACTACAAATGAACTCAAATTAAAGTGAGTCCCTTTAGCTTCACATGCATACAGGAAATTTTGGACGGACTTAAATTTGGCAAATTGCTAAATTCCAAATTTTAATTTGGTGAATTTGTGGCCATGTGCCATCAAGTGTGCGTATAATGGCTC